TGAAATATATTTTTCAAATGATATGGTCAAACACATGGTCAAATTTTCATCAAAATAATATTTGCAAGAATATTTAGAAATCTATGGTCAAACGCTAGCTAAGTGTATATAATATGAATCATTATGCCTCTAGTTATAGTGTAACATAGATGTGTACTAAAAATTAGTCATAAACATAACATTAACATAAATATAATAGAGGAGGTTATGGAAACAAAAGATTATTCTTATAATTGTTATAAAGTTAGAGGTTATGATCATAATTAAAAAAAGTAATGGACATAATGGGTGAAAATAACTTTTTGATTTAGTGAATATCCACACTATAATATTTTATAACAAAAAACAAATAACCACATAACTTGTGTAATAAAATGTACCCCCTCCTTTCTACCGCTTTAGATTTTGCATGCCAAAATAATATTAATATACGTATTTTACGATAATATTTATATTAATCAATATATAGCTAATAGTCAAAATATAATAGAGAGATATGATTTTATTTTTATAAATGAAAAGTGATAAATAAAACATTGAATAGGTAAAAAATAATCGTGAGTGAGAACATTTTCTGGCACAAGTTATGTTATTACATACTTTCTCTATTTTATATTAGTCGAATTTTTGAAATAGTTTTTATAACTTAAATTAACTTAATTGTTTAATATTTTAAGATTACTTTTAGAATTTTCTTCCGATTTGTCCTTCATTAGTCAGTACTGAAATTAGTTATTAACTAATGTTTAGTTGTTCAATCATACATTTGACAATAATTAATAAGAGTAAGAATGGAAAGTGATGTCTAATCTATGTCTTAATTTTCTTTTCTTAAAGGGTGTGAAAAATCTCAACAATTCAATTAACATAAAATAGAGGGAATAATTATTAGTGTTGATAGAAGGGAATTAGGTAGTTAAAAATTGCTTTATTACTAATTTATTCATGTATTTGACTTGGGAGCAACATTGTGTCGGTCGTAGTATTAGCCTATTCATGGGTTTGATTTTTGATATCTAATACATTTTGTTTAAGTGATAGTACGTTGTTATTGTTATGATTTATTGCGAATATGTTTTGCACTACTTTGTTACTAGTTGTCATGTTTCTCTACTGTCGTTTTTAAATAGTTCTTTTGATTTGCTTGAGTCGATGGTTTAAAAACAACCTCTTTACCTTGAAAAAGTAGTAACAAAGCTTGTGTACACTACCACGCCATTTGTGAAATTTCATTGATATAGATTACTATTTTTGTTCTATTCAGGTCAAACCACATTACATCAATTCTCCAATTTTACTTGACTTTGCTTTAGGGCATCTCCAACCCTACACTCTATTTTACTCTTCAATATAGATTTTTCTATATATTTTACTCTCTAAAAAAGAATCTTTTCTCTCTCTTTGATATTATATTATTATTTCTATTTCATCTTATTTTCTTCTTTCATATAAACCATTTATGTTTTTTTCCTGATGGTTACTTTATATAATTCTCATGTGATAAAAAATTTATTTTTTTATTTAATATAAATTATATTTTATTCTAAATTTTTAAATATCATAAATTGCACGAAAAAATAATATAACATAAAAATTAATATTAAAAGTAAAATATGATTACATAAACATTACATAAACACTCAATTTTTGAAATTATTACGCGGCTCTCATAAATGCTCTATTGATGCATTGTGGAGTTCAAAATGAGCATTTATGTCTAGCTAAAAATTGTTATAATCAGAGATTTTCATCTACCACCATTTCTGTCGTTACAGTTGGAGCCTCTACGACATCCTGAATTGGTGCATTATGATCACGTCCCATAATCACATCATGTACTATAATACATGTAGTAATTATATCATGTAGCACTTTCTTTCTCCAAAAAGTGACAATCTTGCACTAATTGCAAAACTACGAATGCACGTTGCACATTTTTTCGACATGATTCTTATTTCATCGCGAATTAGTTATTATGTTATGTATTTTATCTTGTATTTAAATTAGTATGTTATGTATTGTATTGTTATTTGTATTTAAATTATTTTTTTCATCTTACCATTTTAATTTTGTATATTCTTTATAGGTTAAATTAATAATAAAATAAAATTTTAGTATTGGTGAAAATTATTAAAAATATATTAATTCAAATTAAAGTAGTATATATTTTTAAAATGGTATATTACATTTAAAAAGAATCATGAATATCAAAAATTTAATTAATGAAATTATACATAAAATAATATGGTAATTGAAAAGTAATGAAAAACTACTAAAAAGGTGAAATAGTGAGTGTGATTAGTAGTTCTCAAAATTTAGAGAATTACTATTCACCTCTCTATAAAATGGAGAATAGAGAGTAATATGTTGGTGGGTTGGAGAGGACATTCTTTATTATACTCTCCAAATATAGAGAATGGAGAATAAAATAGATATGGGTTGGAGATGGTCTTAACGGATCCATTTTAGAAAGGGAAATTTTTTAAAATGTCAATATTTTAGCATTTAAGAGGACTCATTAGCAACAATTTCAATATTTAGTAAAAATGTCATTTTAGTTTGTTAGGTATATTTTTATTATTTATTTTTATTTAAAGAATATAATTATTTAATAACAAAAAGGAGAAAATTAAGGGGGGAATATTTCAAAAAAGGCAAGCATCCTTAATTTTTTCATCAGTTACATTTTCAAATTAAATTTAAATTTTGTTTTTTTTCTCCAGAATTTTACCTTTTTTAAATTATATTCATTCCACAATATATTCTATTTATATTTATTATAGTTTTTTATTAGTTTGTGTTCATTT